TGTCGCTGCCGCTGCGGGCCGACCTGAACCCGCCACCGTCGTGGCCGCCGCCCCCGCAGCTGACTGACCCACCGCCGCCGTCCACCTCACCGCCGCCGCCGCCGTCCGCGCCGCCGTCCTCGCCGCCGCCGCCCGCGCCGCCACCCCCCTCGCCGCCGCCACCCTCGCCGCCGCCGCCCTCGCCGTCCCTCTCGCCGCCGCCGCCACCGCCACCGCCGCCCTCGCCGCCGCCGCCGAGTGTGCCATTGCCATCGCCATCGCCATCGCCGCCATCGCCGTTGCCGCCGCCGCCATCGCCGTTGCCTCCGCCACTGCAGATATCTCCGCCATCTCCGCCATCTCCGCCATCTCCCCAGCCGCCGCCACCACCACCGCCGCCGCAACCGCCGCCACCGTCACCGCCGTCGCCGCCGCCGTCGCCGCCGTCGCCACCATCGCCGCCATGGCCGCCGCCGTCGCCGCCGTCGTCGCCGCCGTCGTCGTCGCCGCCGCAACCAGGGAAATCGTTCGCCATCGTTAGTCTGTTTGCCGCACTTGCGGTCGTACCGCTCATCTGGAGGCGCAGCTTGCCTGCGACTCAGGCATACCAGCACAGACTCGGCTCCGCGAGTCTTGCGCGCGAGCGTCAGGTCAGAGCGGCACAGAGCGGCACCGTAGACGCGCAAATGGCGGCACGCACCGCCAATTCACATTTCCCCGCGCCAAGGCCGCCAGCAGGCTTTTCGCATCTTCCCGATTCGATCCAAAACCGACGGACTTCGGCAGCAGAGGACGGCAACCAGTGGTGGGCGAGCGCCAGCTTCTTCGTCCTTACGAGGGACAGTTTCTTCGGGACAGACTTTCCAAAGTTCGATCAAGCACTCGAGGATCCAGATTTTCGTTTCAGATCCAATCCTGCTCAACACGAGTGGGGACAAAGACGGGTGAAGAGAGGGACCATTTCACGGAGTGAAGTGTCAAAGACGGATTTCGGTGCTCTCACCAGTGCGATTGCGAACAAAATAGGACCGCTCGCCGCGAAGGAACGCACTTCCTCGCTGAAGAGCTCATACGTGGCCGAAGTGAATTTCAGCCACATCGAAGAGGCTGATGAGGGCACTGCGCTAGCGGCCGCATCGCAGCAGCTCAGCTTTGGTGGCGTGCTGCTCACGTCGGACTCGGCGACGCTACGCTCGTACGGCGTGAGCGACGGCGGCACAGTCTACCTCGACGAGCTGGTGGCGGTGGCGCCGGCAGCGTACCCCGTGCTCGTCAGCCTCCCCGCCTCGTTGTCGGACACATTCGGGGCGAGCCTCGCCGTCGCGGGCTCGGCGTCGGATTCGGTCGGCGCGCTGAAGGCGAAGCTGGCGGCAGCGCTGGGCGTGCTGGCGTCGGCGCAGCTGCTCACATCGGCGGGTGGCGCGGCGCTGTCGGACGACGGCAGCAGCCTCGGCTCGCACGGCGTGGGCGCGGGCGGCGCGCTAGTGCTGTCGCTGACGGGGGCGGCGCCAGTGCCGGTGGGCACCGTGGTCGTCGTGCTTCCGCTGTCGTTGCAGGGCGACCACGGTGCGTCACTCACGCTGTGGGCGGACGCGTCGTCGGCGACGGTGTCGACGATCAAGGCGCAGGTCGAGGCGGTGACGGGCGTGGGGTCGTCGGAGCAGTCACTCAGAGCCAAGTGCCCCAAGCCGACGTGGATGATGGACATTCTGTCGCCAGACTTCGACGACTCATGGGTGTTTGCGCAGACACTCATGAATGACCATGCGACCTGCGCAGTGCGCGAGCACCCCCTTTTGGTCGACGCAGAGGCCGAGCGCCGTCGTAAGCGGCGTACCGCAGAAGGGAGGTACGCGGAAGCAAGAAATGCAGTCGATGCGTACTTCTGGATGGCAATGCGGAGATTCCAAGAGGCGGACGAGGCGGACGACGAGGCGACGGCGGGGCTTCGGCGACGCGAGGCGATGATGGCGTGTTTGACCGGGCTCAGAATGGACACGGGGCATTTTGGACAGGGGGACGTGGGGGAAGTTCTTGCCAAACCGATAATTCAGCGGTTGCATCCTGGCCAAACGGTGGCTCGACTCAACTGCACAGCGGAGCATGGAATGCGGTGCGACATTGAGGTTAGAGAGGAGGCTATCACATACAATGTGAAGCTGGTGCACGCACACCCTCTTAAGGTGGAAGACAAGTTACACTGCCTCACATGCGTGTTCTCCAACGGCAAGACAACGCACGCGTATGTTATGTCCGCCAACGACGGCGGCCCACGGCATCGTGTACTGCTAGTATGCGTAGGTACAAATTTTGAATAACTCTTAGAGAGGAGAAATAGCTTTTCTGTTTTCACGGCTACCGCGGGCGGCGCTGCATCCGACGCGTAGCCAGGCCGTGACGAACCAGGTCCGCTCGGTCTGGAGTGGCGTGCGTACTGGTCGACCGTCTATCGGGGAAATCCTGCCGATCGTTCTGATGCTTGCTTCCGCCATGGCTGCCACGCTGTACATTGGCCTTAATGGCCCTCGGATGCTTGTCGTCTGCATCTCCATCTTCTTGTTTGAGATGTCCGTTTGGCTGATCTGCTGTGAGCTTGCACGGATGTACGCCGCGAGAGCGGCGGCACGAGACGCGGCGGCGAGAAGAGAGGCGGCAAGGGAGGATGCGGTGGCGAGAAGGAGGGAGGCGGCGGCGAAAGAGGCGGCGGCGAGGAAGCAGGCGGCGAAGCAGGCGGCGGCGAGGGTGGCGGCAGCGAGGGAGCAGGCAGCGGCGAGGGAGGACTCGGCGAGGGAGGCAGCGGCGAGGGAGGCAAGGGAGGCAGCGGCGAGGGCGGCGGCATCGAGAAAGGCCGAGGCGAGGGCGGCGGCGGCGGCGGCGAGCAGGGAAGCGGCGGCGAAGGAGGCAGCGGCGAGGGCGGCGGCGAGAAGAGAGGCCGAGGCGAGGGCTGCTGCTGCGGCGGCGGCGAGGGAAGCGGCGGCGAAGGAGGCGCGAGCGGTGGCGGCGAGGGAAGCAGTGGCAAGAGAGGCAGTGGAGGCGGCGGATGCGAGGAAGGCAGAGGAGGCGGCGGAGGCGGAGGCGAAAGCGGTGGCGGTGCAGGAAGCAGCGCGCATCGCTCAAAAGGAGGCGGCGGCGAGGGAGCTGACAAGCAGGCTGGCGGCGAGGGTTGCGGTGCCGGCAAACAGCACTTTGGTCGATACCGCTGCCAGGCTAGGTGGTCGGGGCGGGCGAGGCGGGCGTGGCGGGCGAGGCGGGCGGGGCGGGCGGAGCGGGCGCGGCATTGCTCGCGAGCTGGGCGCCGTCACTGAGTTGGCCGGCGACGAAGCTGGCCAAGCTATTGCCCCGCCGAGCGAGCCACCCGTGACAGTTTCGCTGGCCGACGCCAGGTTCGACACGGGGCGGCCCCTGGCGCCACCAGACTCATCTCACGGGGGCGAGACCACGTGCATCGTGTGCTTCAGCCAGCCCAAGACACACGCGGCGGTGCCGTGCGGGCACCGATGTGCTTGCGGCCCCTGCTCCGCGAAGATGTCTCTCTGCCCCTACTGCCGCGGGACGGTCATGATGTGGATGGAGACGCGAGACGTGTAGTTCGTTGGTGTGTGCTGTGTTCAACAGTACCGTCTCGCCGGTGAGAGGTGCGAAGAGCTTTTTCACACATAGTCGCTCTTTTCTTTTTCGATTCTTGTGCTCTCTCCCGCAATCAGCGATAGAGAGGCCCTGCCACTACAACTGCAAACGGAGCCAGGGCCGCCTCCCAAGAGGCCGAGGCGACAGCCTTAGCGGTGCTTTACAGCTATGGAGGCAGGTGTTAAAACCCCACCCCCTAGCCGCCACGGCCGCCCGCCCCCACTCCCGCTCCCGCCGCCGCAGCCTTTGCCTTCTGGCTCGCCATTGTTTTCGTCATCGTCATCTCGATCGGCATGTTCTTCAAGCGGAAGGAGTCTACTGAGCCACCATTGAGGAGTCAGATCATTGCGGAAAGGGCAAGGAGACGGGCTCAGATCTGGGCCATGATGGAGGTGTACCATCATGGCCTCGGAAGGGGTGTACCCTCGGATGGGGTGTCCACAGAGGACGGCTTGCAGCAGAGGCAATCCGCGTACCAAGCGCTGGTCCGTGCAGTCGACCGCTTGCCGGTTCGAGCCCACCCCGCGAGCGACGCCGCCGCCGCCGCCGAAACCGGCTGCTGCGCGGTGTGCCTTGAGGACTTTTCGGCTGGCGAGATGCTCCGCGAGCTGCCCTGCGGCCACCAGTTCCACAAGGCTCGCTCACTCCAGAGGGGAGCGCTAGAGCGGCCAGTGCAGAGATCCTTCAGCTGCCCGGCCTCCCTTTCAGGCGTGTATCGACGTGTGGCTGCTCTCGGCCTCCACGAGTGACGGATATCAGTGCCGAATCGCCGCGTGCCCGCTCTGCAAAGCCGCCCTCCCCCGCAACCCATGCGACGCCCCGGCCGCCGCCCCGCCGGCCCAGTCCCCGCCGCACCAGCCGCCGCCGCCGCCGCCGCCGCCCCAGGGATCGGTGGTGGTTGAGATGCAGGCGGTGGACACGGCGGATGCGGCGGATGCGGGCCTGTCCCCGCCGCCTCCGGGCGAGGCGGTGGGTGCGGAGTCGCCGCCGCCGCCGCCGCCGCCGCGGGCTGCTCAGCCAGCCGGCGCCTTCACGGGGGAGTGCCGCATCTCGTGAGCGAGGGACCGGCCACCCAAGCCGTAGACTGCTGCGCTGCATGTGTCGCCCCGATGTGCTGCGCCGCGTGCGCACGGTGCAATCTGCAATCTGCATACTGCAATGTGCAAACGCCCCCCCGCGCGGCCGATGGTGATGCCTGAAGCTGAGCGGTGAGCGATGTTGTATCGCTTTTTGACATGTGCTCTGTGTATCTAGATAGTCGCGTGTCGCTTCCTCTTTACGGTCTCTGACCCCCCCTCGGCCGAGGAGAGGTCATTTTGTTGTTCTAAATCTACAAAGAAGTATATCAAGTAAGAAAATGCCCCCCCCCTTGCCCTCTTCAAAATGCGCACGCTCCCCCCCCCCGCCTCTTGCACAGTCTCAGGTTTCACAGGCGCTGCCGCCGCCCTGCCGGCGCGGCCGCCGCCGTGGCCTCCTTGTTCTTTGTGACCACGTGGTACAGCGGCGAGGGCGTCTGGCCGCGCTGCAGCGGCTCGTTGACGTTGCGCACGTGGTCGATGATCTGCATGCAGATGGTGGAGTTGCGGCACATCGCCGGGTCCGGCGTCCCAGGCCCCGCGAGGTGCTTTGGCATGTCGGCGGTGGGGACGATGCCATTGCCCTTGCCGCCGCCGCCCGCCGTCATGCCGCTGGGTGAGGTGGGGTGGGGTGGGGGGGGGGGGGGGTTTACCCAACGGGAGGCAGTGCCCGGAGGAAGGGGGGGGGGGGGGGGGCAAGTGGAGCCAGTGCGGTGCGCGATGGGGGCCCGCCGCGCCTGATGGCGGACATCTTTGGGATCCACGCCAGGTCCGCGCTGAAGCCGCCGACGGTGCTCATGAACTGCTTCAGGAAGGAGGGCGCCGGCGACGAGAGGAGCTTGTCCACCATCGGCCGGTACTTGGCGCTCACCGCGTCGTAGCGCTCGTGCGCCTGGGGCACGCGCGCGCGGGGGGTAGGCAGGTAGGGGGGACGAGGGCGAGGAAAGGGGGTGGCGGGCGGGCGGGCGTACGTGCCAAGACACACCCGGAGAAGGGGGCGTGTGTGGGGGGGGTGCTGTGCGAGGGCGGGCTCGCGCCGGGCCGCCGGGCAGAGGCAGCGGAGGGACGGCGGGGCGGGGGCGAGCGGAGGGTTAGGAGGAGGTGGGGGGGATCGCGCCTGGTTGTAGGCGTCCCGCACATTGCCCTCCGTAGGCCGGTTCAAGCGGCGATGATGCTCTGCTGCGTGCTCACTGCCGGAGGGCACCGGAAGCGAGTGCACCGCCGCGAGAAGCAGCGCGGCTCGCACTAGATGACTCAGCATTCGCTGCGTGGCCGGGCGCCGCTGTGTGAGGGGTCGGGGCGGGCGGTCGCGTCCGGGGCCCTCGGGTATTATGAGCGGGCAACACTAGGCGCTGAGGCGAAATAAGAATTTTCAAGCCGCAACTCGCTTCGGGGACAGGACCGTCTGTCCTCGACCCAGCCCTAGCTTGGGATGTCCGTTTTATTTATTTTTTATGGGGAAAGGACCGGCGTAAACTAGGGGGGAAAGAAACGGGGAGTGAGAGCTCTGAGAGGCGAGAATTGCGTTTTGGGGATGCAGGGCGTGCAAGGCGGCTAGGGATGAAGCCGCAAAGGAGGCGCGCGAGGCAAGGAGGAGAAACGGAGAAGGGAGAGATTGGGACGATTGGACACAGGAAGACAGAGAGCCGCCACAGGCGCTGCACAGGCGTCGTTGGCGCACGTGCTGAGTGGCAGCTGCGCTGGAAACAAGGAAGAGGCCCGTTACTTCATGCGGAAGCTTGACAAACACACGGCGAGGGCGACAGCAAGAGTCGAACGGGCGGCAACCGCCTGAATCAAATAAGACACGGCGTCTAGATTTGGAGCGCTCCCCGAAGAGGAGTATCTAGATACGACAAAATAGCGCCCGTGATTGCCTGCACGCTGCCCGCACACTGACAGACTCCCTTCCCGAAAGAGAGGAGATCGCCGGAGGTCACCAAGACGCGAGATACAGGGTTTCACGAGTCGCACTAGGAGTCGCACTCGCCCAGGGCCACAAGGCAGGGCGGACCACAGGAGATGAGTGATGACGGCACGCTCGCGAGGGCTTCATGCGCATGTCCGGTTTATTTGTTGGTTTGTCTATCCTCCTCCAATCCCTACTTTCGGCATAGCTCTTTTGTTTCCTAAAGCATCAGGTTCTGGAACGGGTCCGTCGGGGGTGGCCCGCCCGCCACCCCTCCGCCTCCGACGTGCGGCGGCGCTGCAAACCCGGCCGGCGGAGTGTCGAACGTGTCCGCGCCAAAGCCGCCAAACCCCGCCGACTGGACTGGGGCAGCGCCGAAGCCAGAGACGGGCGCGGGCGGCGGCGCGCCGAACCCGCCGTACGCGCCGGTCGCGGGCGCGTCGAAGCCGGCAAAGGCGGCGGTCGCGGGCGGCGTGTCGAACCCGCCAAACGAGCCGAGCAGGTCGGCTTGGGCCGCCGCCACCGGTGGCGGCGGCGGGGCGTCGATCCCGCCGAGCAGGTCCGCCTCCTGCGGCGGCGCCCCACCGGCCGACTGCGCGGGCCCCGACGGCGGCGCACGCGCCTTCATGCCCGCCGCCGCCGCCTCTGCGACGCCACCACCGATGCCTCCGATCCAGGAGAGCGCGCCTCCGAGGCGGCCGCCCAGGCTCGGTGCCGGCGCGCTCTCGCCGGTGCTCCCCCCGCCAAACCCGCCGCTGGCGCCCAGCTTTTCGCTCACCTTGTCCTCCCGCTTTGCAGCCTGCAACTCCTGCATGTTGACGATGCTCTGCGAGATTTCGCCCTTGAGCGCCCGCTGCTTGGCGATCTCCACATCGGTATCCGCCTGCTCCTTCTCTATCCGCGCGCGCTCCTTGGCCAGCCGCACCTTGCGCGCCTCGGCCGCCGAGAGCGCCTTGGAAGACGCTTCCAGCTTTGAGCGCAGCGCGTCGAGAGAGCTCTTGAACTCGTGGTCGTCCGCCTTGAGTTCCGCCTCGATCTTCTGTAGCGCCGCCATCTCGCGCTTGGCCGCCTCCATGCGGGCGTGCAGGTTCGACTCCATGACGCGCTGACTTGGGGTTGTCACTATCCCGGGCTGCTGCTCTTGTGCTGGGTTCGACGGCGTACACACAAGGCGCTGTCAGGAGCGGAAAGAAAGCCGAAAGCGTGCTCCGAACGCACCACGAATGGCGTGTCTGTCCTCGACCCAGCCCTAGCTTGGGATGTCCGTTTTATTTATTTATTTATTACCACGAGTATTTTTCTACTGCCCTCTCCTGTGCGCTGTGGCCGGTTTCTCCAATTTAGCGCTGTGCCCCCGTCGAGCCCGTCGACAAAGAACCCTGCACAAAGACCGCAGGGCGGGGACCTGTTCCTTTTTACCCATCTCCTATAGTAGAGGTGTCCGTTTTATTTATTTAGAGCCCGTCGAGCATCACGGACCGTGCCTTGCATTTGAGCTCCGCAGCTCCGCTCCCGCCCGCCGGTGGGCTGAATGATGACCGCCTCGTGCAGCAAATTGGTGCTGCCTCCCACCTCCTCTTTTGCCACCCGCTGGCCCGTGACGTTTCGCCGTTGAGCTGCCGCAACCATGGCGACAACCCGCTGCGGCGGAGGAGGCGAGCCGAGAGTGGTCAAGCGGCGGGCGCGTGTCAGTGCGCTCGCACAGTGGCGTGCCCGAATGGCGTGGGTAGCGATCTGGTGGGCGGAGGGCTGCGCCTTTTTGTTGCTGTTGGGTCGTAGCTGGTCTTCCATCGAAATGGCGCGTCCGTTCCGTTTTGACTAATACGCTTCGCTTGTGTGCTTCTGAGCCGCGCGACGTGACGACACGCACGAGCGACACACAGACACAAACAGGCCCACAAGACACACAGCCAGCTGGCTGCCACACACCCTGAGTCGGCGTACACATAAATAACTCAACTGCGGGCGGACCCTCACAGATCACAGATCACTCAAGGCCACATCCTCCCTGTCGCCCCCCCCAGCACTCCAAGGTGCCAAGAAAACAAAGAAGGGCACAACAAACAACAGAAACAGGAAGTGACATGCGAGGCTAGAGCAGCTTGCTCCACCTCAAGCGGCAGCGGTAGACCGTTGATGCAAAAAAGAAAAAAGTGCGCGTATCTCGGCAATCCTTGGCGTACACACAAGGCGCTGTCAGGAGCGGAAAGAAAGCCGAGATAGTGCTGCGAACGCACCCTTGAGTACGATAGTTCTTCTTCCTTGCACCTAAATGCAAATCCCTGAATGGTGGCGGCGTGCCGCCCTCCCATCCCCTCCGTCGGGTTGTCTTTCTTTTCTTTTACACCTACCAAACATCTCTCAGTCCTCCGGCGAGGTGGACGGGTCGGACTAGCCACAGCGACTAGTTAGTCGTACGGACGAACCGGGGAGGGAAACCTCAGAGACGTAGGTAGGTAGGTAGAAAGGTGAAGAACAGCCAGGCTCGGACTGGACACCAACGCGGTATGGGTGGACGCTAGACAGATGATGACGACACGCACGAGCGACACACAGACACAAACAAGCTCACAAGACACACAGCCAGCGGGCTGCCACACACCCTGAGTCGGCTTACACATAACTCAAGGCCATATCCTCCCTGTCGCCCCCCCCAGCACTCCACGGTGCCAAGAGAAACAAACAAGGGCACAACGACACAACAGACGACAGGAAGTGACATGCGAGGCTAGAGCAGGCTTGCTCTACCTCCAGCAATCTCTCCGGCCGGCGAGGCACGGACGAGACCGTGTGTGGGGTCTAAGTGAGGTGTCTATGGACGCTCTCCTCACGGGCTAGCTGCCTGCGGCTAGCCCTATCTCGCACTCACGGGCAGTGACAATTCAATGGGTGAGTGTTTGCGAGCAGAGGCGCGTGGGCTAAATCTAGGCCGCACGTCGTGGCACTATGACGAAGTTAGACGTGCGGCCGCAGCGCGCCCGCCGCAGGCTGGGCGGTGCGCGCGTGTTAGCGAGACCGTGGATGCAAAAAAGAAAAAAGACATGCAATCCTATCTCGGCAATCCTTGCTTGCTCCCCCCAACCGTAAGACATACAGCAACTTGATGCCGATGAGGCTCAGCCAAGCGGGCTCCCTCGGCCACCGGGCGTGCCGCGTGGCAAGGTTTCGCATCGTGCGCTGCAGCTCCGCCGTCAGTAAGCCGGTCGCGACAGATGCGCTCACCCAGTCGGCCACCGCCAAGCAAGAGGCGGGCAACAAACCGGAGACGGGCTTGATCCTTGATCTCGGGATCCCGACCCTCCTTCCCGAGTGGCGCAAGATGTTTGCGCCGTCGACCGTTGTGACCGACGTGACGGCGGGCATCACCGTCGGCTGCGTGGCGGTGCCCCTCTCATTGGCCATTGCGGTGGCGAGCGGCGTTCCGCCTGAGGTCGGGCTTGTTAGCGCAGCGGTGGCGGGCGTGGCGGGCGGGCTGATGGGCGGCACGACGCTCGCCATCACGGGCCCGGCCGCGGCGATCAGCCTGCTGGTCTGCGAGGCGGTGCAGACACATGGTCTCGGCACGCTCCCCTTCATCACCCTCGCGTGCGGCGGGCTGCAGCTGGCGATGGGCGTCGCCCGCGGAGGCGGCATCACCAAGTACGTGCCGGAGAGCGTCATCGCGGGCTTCACGACCGGCATCGGCGTCATGATCCTCGCCGGCCAGCTGCCAAAGGCACTCGACCTGACCGTACCCGCCGGCCTGAACACCGTCGAGGTGGTGCAGGCCGTCGCCTCCGGCATCGGCGGCACCAACCCCGCGGCCCTCGCGCTCGCGCTGGGCGTGGTGGGCACCATGCACGCCGCACCAAAGCTCCACCCGAAGATCCCGTCGGCGCTCGTCGCCGTCGGCGGCGCCACGGCTGCCTCGCAGCTTCTCGGGCTCAGCGCCACGCCCATCGGCGCGCTGCCGAGTGGCCTCTCTGCCTTCACGCTCTGCATGCCGGCCTTGCCGGCGGCCGAGGCGCTGCCCTCGCTCTGCGGGACCATCCTGCTGATCTACGCGATGACGAGTGCTGAGACGCGCCTCTCCCGAGAAGCGGAATACGTATTTTTGCGCCCCAACCGGCGCTCGAGAGGGCCCGTGTTCAGCTGTATTCCGCCGTCTCCCGCTGGCTTCACTGTCTTCGCACCCCCCTCGTACTCACGCGCTGCTCTGAACACGCTGAAGAATACCGCCCTCCCGCCCTCATGTCGGCGTATGCACGCCGTAGGCTCCTCTCGTGCACTAACCTTCCCTGAACCTTCCCTGAACCTTCCCTGAACCTTCCTCTAGGCTCCTCTCGTGCACGGCACCTTCGACACGCCTCAGCGCCGGCCAGGTTCAGCCGTCGGTCGGCGGGCTGAGCAGGACGCCGTTCGCTGCCGTAGGCTCTCGACCGTCTGCGGCCGACCTCGTACAAGCACAACCCCGACCAGGAGCTCGCACAGCCGAGATACAGCCGAGATACAGCCGAGGTACAGCCGAGATACGGCCGAGAGATAGCTCCTCGGTCGCCAGCACGACGGCGGCCATCTCTCGGCTGTATCTCGGCTGTATCTCGGCTGTATCTCGGCCTTATCTCGGCCGTATCTCGGCTGTATCTCGGCTGTGTCCACGGGCGTGTAGGAGCTCATTGGGCAGGGCGTCGCCAACATGACCGCTGCCGCCTTCGCGGGCATGCCGGTCACGGCCGTCATCGCTCGGTCGAGTCTCAACATCAAGCTCAAGGCGCACTCGCGCCTGCCCTCCCTCGTGCAGTCGGCGTTTGTGTTTGGCTCGGCCGCCCCTAGATGCGGGAGACTATATCTCGGCTATATCTCGGCTGTATCTCGGCTATATCTCGGCTGTATCTCGGCCGCCCCTAGATGCGGGAGACTATATCTCGGCTATATCTCGGCTGTATCTCGGCTGTATCTCGGCTGTATCTCGGCCGCCCCTAGATGCGGGAGACTATATCTCGGCTATATCTCGGCTGTATCTCGGCTATATCTCGGCTGTATCTCGGCCGCCCCTAGATGCGGGAGACTATATCTCGGCTATATCTCGGCTGTATCTCGGCTGTATCTCGGCTGTATCTCGGCCGCCCCTAGATGCGGGAGACGGCACGGCAACACCGTGCCTTCAACTCATCACACCCGAGACTGTGCGACGCGTGCCTGAGCTGTCTCCCGCCCCGTGTCCAGCTGAGGCTGTCGTGTCTGCACGAGCGTAGGCTCGCTCGCGCTCTACTCTGACGTCATCTCCGCTGTCCCCCTCTCGGCGGAGATCTAGCCGAGAGACAGCCGAGGTCCAGCCGAGACACGTCATCTCCGCGCCCACCCCCCCTGTCGGCGTTTGCTGGCTAGCTGCGGAGTTGCGGCGTGCCACCTCTCCCGTCCCGCCCGAGTACTCGCCCTCTCGCTCGGAAGACATGCTCGAGAGGGGCACTCGCACGACGCACACACACGCTCGCGACTTGGGCTGCCTGGCCCTCGCCCCACCACCTCGTGTGTGTGTGTGTGTGTGTGTGTGTGTGTGTGTGTGTGTGTGTGTGTGTGTGTGTGTGTGTGTGGAGAAGTGTGCCTCACCCTACCCCACCCCACGTGCCCCGCAGGCCCTCGCCGGCGTCCTCATCTCCTCGGGCGCCGGGATGCTGCAGCCAGCCGAGCTCAAGACGAGCCTCGCCGAGGACAAGTACAACCTGGGCCCGCCGCCTCTAGAAGCGGACACACGCCTTCACGCCTTCACGCCAGCGCTCGAGGGGACACGGAGTCAGCGGCAGTCGGCCGTCTCCCGCTGCATTCACTGTCTTCGCCCCCCCCTCGTACTCACGCGCTGCCTCCGAGTCCTCTGCACGACACCGCCTCCCCGCCCCCGAGGGTGGCGTACTCAGCACGCAGGCCCGTCCCTCGCCCCCCCGGGGGCGGGATGTGACATCTGAATGAGGAATGAGCCATGAGCCATGAGCAGGCCCGTACCTGGTCACTACGTGCGGCATGCTCACGATGGGCATGGCGGAGGGGATCGTCCTCGGCTGCGCGTCGTCGGCCGCAAAGCATCTCGTCCAGCAGCGCCTCCTCGCGGGCGAGCATAGCTGAGATCTAGGTCGAGCCGAGATCGAGCCGAGATCTAGCCGAGATCTAGCCGAGATAGGGCCGAGATAGGGCCGAGATGGGGCCGAGTATTTGAGGGGTGGCCGTCCTCGAGACAGAGACGTTCCCCGTGGCCCCTCACCTGGAGCCTTCTCGGAGCCTTCTTCGGAGCCGTCTCGGAGCCTTCCGACAGGCGGCGGCGACTGGGTGGTCCAGGCGGCGGAGAGCCGCCTAAAGGACCCGCCCCCCTCGCCCGACACGCGAAAGGAGGCTTGACGTCTCCCGACTGGGCCGGAGGCCAGGCCCGCGCGCGCTGTCAGCTTTGGGCCGCCCAGTCAGCGCCTTGTGACCTGCCCGCCGCCCCGGCAGCTTCCCGCTCCCTGCCCCCCACCTCCGCCCACCTCCGCCAGCCAGGGGTGGGTGGGGACGTTCGGGAGAGAGCACCGCGCGTCTGCTGAGCCGCTCGTGGACGCGCGCGTAGTTTAGGGGCACACCATCGCCGCAGTCCCCCCCCCCCTCCCCCCCCTGTGTACTATTGAGCTTGTCGTCGCGAGGGCGCCCCTGAGGCGCCCCGCTCGCAAGACGTCCCATCCATGTGCCTAGAAGCGAGGGGGGATTTTTGCAGGAGCGTGCGTCCGCGTGATGGTGTGCACCTGTCTAGTATAGATTTCTTTATTTCCAATGACCGTGGTGTGTTCCGACTTCCGTGCGCACTGCGCTCCGACGACGCGACGAGGCGCGACGTCCGAAAGAAAACACAAAAAAAACACAAAACTCGAGCGAACACGAACGACGAATTATATTGAATTGATCTTGATGTTGAACGTACGACGAATTGTAGCCCGGGGTCGAACACCTGGGTCACGATTACCGATTTTGGCACAAGAGACAAGTGAATACGGGCCTTACGGGCGCTTTTTGACGATGAAATAAGAATCTACAGCCCGAGCAGGGAAACACATAGACACCCACATGGTTGACCAACCCTTAGTGTGTGAGGGTCAGTGTTCACATTCACACCCCACTGCAGTTTGTTGTAGAGATTTCACGTTGTAGAGGGTAGAGCGCCTCTACATCGGTCATCGCTCTTGCACATCGGACTCACATCGTCCCGCGGCGGATGTAGAGCTCTACAGCTCTACAGCGCTCCAGAGCGCTCTACATCTCTACAGCTAGCTCTACAGCTCTACAGCGCTCTGCACTCTACATCCTCTACAGTCTACACCCTCCCTCAGGGTTCGCGGATCTCGACATATTCACGTTTCTCGACGTTTTGAGAAAGAATCTGGGTGGAGGCGGGAATGGCTGGGGCGTGGGGGGGTCCACCCCCTACCCCCTTACCCCTGCGGCGGCAGAGCCGCCTGCCCAAAACCCTCCCCTCACCCCAAAAGTTGGAACCCTGGACGCGCGAGGCGCCGGTGTGTTGCAATATGAACTCAGCGGCTGAGGATGCCAAAGAGCAGGGCAACGCATGCATGGCGTCGGCCGACTATGTCGGCGCCATGACATCCTACACGAGGGCCCTCTCATTTGCGCCCAAGGAGGCTTCGCTCTTCTCGAACCGCTCGTTTGCCTTCCTCAAGCTCAGCCTGCCTGCGCGTGCGCTCGCCGACGCCGAGGAGGCCATCCGGCGGAGGCCCGAGTGGCCCAAGGGTCATTTTCGCAAGGCCGAGGCTCTTCGCGCCGCCGGTTTGCACGAGGATGCGCTCGAGTATTACGCACGCGGCGCCGAGCTTGACCCTTCGGACGAGCATTTGCGTAGCCAGTGCGACGCGTCGCGGTTGCGCGCCTCGGCCCAGCAGCGACAGGAGCGGCTGCTGGTTGCAGCCGCCACCGGCGCCGGACTACTCTTCTTTGCGCTGCTGGCCTTGACCGATGGCGGGGCGGGCCACGCCAAGCTGGTCGGCGTGGCCGGACTCGGGGCGGCGCTTGGTGCGCTGGCAGGGGTGGGCGCGACCGCGCTTCGTGGGCACGGCCGGCGCGGCGCGGTCCTGCCGCCGCTCGAGACCAACGACGCGTTCGTCGCCCTGCAGACGGGCGCCGGCGGGGACGCGGCGGGCCGAGGCGCGCCGCAGGCGGCGGGCTTGCAAACGGACGCGAGGGCGGCGGCTGTGGCTGCAGACGGCGCGGCGGGCGGGGCGCCCTCCTCCGGCGGTACGGGTGGAGCAAAGGGCGCGAGGCATCGCTCGGCGAAGAACGGAAGGGCGGCGGCGTTGCGTGCAATGGGGAGGTCATGACGAGTGTCCCGCACTAGTGTCCCCGCGTTCAGATCTGCTCGCGGCGGCCCTCCGGAGTCGGCGCCTCCTCGCGACCCACGTGCGTCCCGCTCGTATTCCAGAGGCGGGGCCATCTCGACCCAAAAGTCTCAGGACATGCCACAGCGCTGGCAGCGGTCGTAGGACGTAGCTCGTAGTTAAAGAGCAACCTAGCACAAGCCGCGGAGGTCCGAGGTGTGTGTGGAGCGGGGAAAACGCACATTGGAAAGCGTTACTGTTTTTTTCCGAGACCGAAGACCGCCCGCTGCGGCTCACAGTGCACGGGTGTCGGGTGCAGCTGCCAGCTCTGACCTCTGTGCCGCGCAGGCCCAGGCGACAGGCGCTCGTCTCGGTCGTCTGCTCGTCTCGCGTCAGAGCACAGCGAGGTCACCACATACGCGGCGCGACACGCGTGCCACGAAATCAAAAAAAGGGCGGAGGCAGCGCCAAGCGAGCGCGGGCTATGCCCAGCTATGAACTACCGCGTACCGGCTCGGCCGTCTCCGCGCGTCAGGCACGCGCCCTCACACTACGCGACACCCTTAGAGCCGCCCAAAGCAAACCGCTCGAACCGTTCCCGGATGGCCGCGCGCATTCTATCGCGCTCCTCCATCAGCTGCCCCTTTTGCCGCGCCAGCGCGCTAAACTCGCGCTGCTCCGACTCTGTGAGCTCGAGGCTCGCTGCGTCAACCGGATGCAACGCCAACGCGCGCGCCGCGTCGAGCTCTGCGCCGCCACGTCCCGGCGCCGCCGCCTCGCGCTCCGTAGCTCGCCCGTCGCCCCCTCCCCCGCCCGCAACGCCGCAGCCGTTGGCGGGCGGTGGATGCGCACCGCCTCCGGTCGCGTCGGCAGCGCCGCCGCCGCCGGGCGCGCTCTCGCCGCCGCCGCCGAGGGCGACGGCGGCGGCGTTGGACCACCCCATCTTGGAGAGGAGGGCGAGCTCCTGCTGCTCGTCCCATGTCACCGCCTGCTCCTCCGCCTCCGCCTCCCTCCGATGCTTCTGCCGCTCCTTCTTCAGCTTCCGCTTGGACGCCTTGCCCGCGTCGTGCTGTGCGGGGGGTGGCCGCGGCGCGAGGCGTCAAGAGGAGGAGTGTGGATGTACCATGCTATGAGGCGTCGAGAGGAGGAGGCTGCCGAGGAGCTGATGGGACAGCACCAGCGTCCGGCACGCGCAGCGGCAAGGCCTCGCGCGGGTGTGACCCGGACGCCCCCGCGCGCCGTCCCGGGCGTCTCTGTGGCGGGTGGCGGGTATGCAGGCGAGTCTCGGGAGGGCTTTTGGAGCCGTCACCTCAATGCCCTCGAGGAGCGACTCGGCGCACTGCGCCGCGTGCCGCTCGAGTGTCTGCGCCTGGAAGTGCGAGAGCACCAGCCGCACCAGCAGTTGCTGGTTCTGCTCCTCCTCCAGCGAGGTCTGGTAGCTCGTCAGCACCTTCAGACGCAGGGACGGGGACAGTGTGACGGGCACAGTGTGACGGGCACAGTGTGACGGGCAGCCGAGGCGGGCGCGTGCGTGGAGAGGGGTCTGGGTGGCGCCAACGCCCTCGTGAGCTGCGTCGCCACGCCGCCCCTCGCGTGCCCCCGCGCGCCGCGTGCACGCCGCGCGCGCGTCCGCTGTCCCCGCCACGAGGGGCGCAGGGGGAGCGGACCTTGCGCAGCAGCAGCCGGCCGACTACGCAGAGGAGCTCGCTCAGGCCGGCCTGTCGCGTCGGCGCGTGCCGCCCCTTGGAGGAGGACTCGGCCTCCTCCGCCAGCGTGTCCTCGTAGTGGTAGAGGATGGTCGGCAGCGCCGACGAGTGCACGCAGATGGTCCTGCGCGCAGGGTTCGCCCAGGGGGGGTGGGGGATATCGTCCGTCTGCGCGCGTGCGCTGCGCGCGGCGCAAGCGCACCCCTCCGTGGAGCGCTCAATGTCAAAGTAAGCCTGCAGGCTGGAGAGCTCCGCCTCCTGCTCCGCCTCGGTGCCCACCGGCGGCAGCTCCTTCTTTGTCAGCCGGTCGTACGCCCACATCACATTGCTGCGGCAGTCCTTGCAGAGGTGGTGCTTGTCGGTGCAGTGCTGCCAGAGCTTGTCGTGGAGCTCGCCGGCGCCGACCGCGCAGATGGTGGCCTTCTGTGCGGCGGAGAGCTCCGCCCACATGTCCTCCCACAGGTCGGCTTGGTTGAAGATGTGCCGGCTGTTTGTGTGCATCGGGCAGCGCTTGTCGCGCTTCAGCGGCTGGCAATTCTTCAGCCACTCCTGCAGCGGAAACTTGGCGCAGGCGGCCTCGAGCGCGGCGGGAGAGGCGAGGTCCTCGTTCAGCACGTAGCCGGTCTCGTCCTCGCGGTCCACGAAGGAATCGAGCAGCACCAGCTCTGCGAGCGGCCTCTCGGTCATGAGCCGCAGCGCGCTGCAGCAGGCGCTGCAGGTCGTCTCGCGCTGCAGCCGGCGCAGGATCTCCTCCTTGGGGCAGGAGATGCAGGTGCTGCACACGAGTTTCGTCTCTGAGCTCATGCGGCCGGGGCGGTGGAGGAGGAAGAGCCGTTCGGCAGCAGCGAAGAGCGCGTTACGCTGTGAATACAGGCAGGAGAGAAAAGAAGAATTTTATGGGAAGAAGAAGAAGACCAAGCGCCTCCCCGACGGACTTTCCTTGGGTGCGATGCGTAGATCGCCTCCAGTCCCTCCTCCAGCGGCCTCGCCGCTGAGCCCCAGCGACTTCATCGACGCGCGCACCGCCCTGCTCGCCGTCGTCTGCTCGCTTCTCGTGCTCCACCCGCCTCGGATCAGCCGCTCGCTCGTCGGGAGCGCGCTCGGCGTGGGCGCGCTTTGGGCGTGGGCCGCATCGCTCGGTGTGGAGGCGGACGCGGCCGCGGTGGCGGCGACGCTGCTCGGCGTGCGCGCGGCCTACCGCCTCTACCAGATCGTGCTGACCATGCTCGCCACCTTCCCGCTCCAGCTCACCTTTCCGTTTGTCGTCGACCTCATCCCGCGCTTCTCGATCAGCAAGCGCTCCTTCTTCAACGCGGACGGCGCCTCGGCCGAGGTGGCGCGGAAGCGCGAGGCCGCGCTCGAGGCGCTCCAGGAGCGCTGGCGCGTCAAGTACAAGCAGTGCCTCGTCTTTGGCTCCGACCTCAAGAATCTCATCTCCGACGTGCGCCAGACTGCCTGCGCCACCGCGCCGCCTCCCTCCGCACCGCCAGCTCCTCCACCACCGCGCCGCCACACGCACGCACCCTCCCTCCGCCTCTCTGCCGCCCGGCGCCCGCCGCTGCCCGCCGCTCCCCACCCACTCCCCGCCGTTCGGGCGACGGCGCACCGTTCTTCCGCGGCTGCAGCCCCGCTCCGCGAAAGAGCGGCTGCCGCGCCTCTACCCACTCCGCGGTGGGGACTCGGGCGGCGCAGGTGCGCTTCACGTCGGGCCGGTGCTTCCCGCCCTTCAACAATGTGGTCAACGAGTACCTCGACCCGTCCATGGCCCTCGCACGCACCGAAGGCACGCCCACGCCCACACCGCTCCCGCACGCGCGCCGGCACTCGTCGCGCCGCGGCGCTCCCGTCTCAGGGCGTGTTCACCCCCCCCCCCCCCTTCCTTCCTCACCGCACCTCAGGCCCCACCGTCGTCGACATCGACGGCAACTCCTCTCTCGACGTCTCTGGCTCGTACGGCGTCAACGTCTGCGGGTACGAGGCGACACGTTCCGGGACACGTCCGGACATGTCCGGGACATGTCCCGTAGGCGTCAACGTCTGCGGGTACGAGGCGTACAAGCGCTTCATCACCGCCGGCTGGGCGGCGGCCAAGGACAAGGGCCTCTACCTGGGTGCCGCTGCGTCCTAGGCGACGGTGGCGGAGGGGGGGAGGGGGCGGTCTCGTGACGCTTTTGAGGCGGGTCCCGATAGGCTCGCTCGACGAGACGACCCTCGCAAACATCAAGATGATCCAGCAGATCTCCGGCCTGCCAGAGGCGCCTCCTCGGCACGGGCCGGGCACCCTCCCGCCACGCGAGCGGCGTTTCACAGCTCCACGGTGTGAACAGGTGTCCTTCCACATGTCGGGCACCGAGGCGGTCATGGCGGCCGTCCGCTGCGCGCGTTTCAACCAGCGCAAGCCGCTGGTCGTCAGCTTCGGGGGCGCGTACCACGGCTGGTGGGACGGGATGCAGCCGACCGCGGGCAACGAGCGCACTCCCGAGGACGTGCTCTGCCTCAAGGACATGAACGCGCTCTCGCTGGCGGTGACCCGGGCTCGAGGGAGCGAGATCGCCGCACCAGCGAAAACCGAAAGACCGGGGGGGCGCCCATTTCTTCTGTAGGTGATCCGGGCTCGCGGGAGCGAGATCGCCGCGGTGCTCCTCAACCCGCTCGACGGGCACGTCCGGGACACGTCCGGGACATGTCCGAGACGTGTCCTAGGTGCTCGTCAACCCGCTCCAGTGCTTCCACCTCAACTCGTCGCCGCCCTCCGATCTGGCACTGCGGTCAAACAGCCGCAACTCTACGACTGGTGATATGTGGATACGGCTCGATGTTGCGTGTCGTGTAGGTGTTGCAGTCAAACAACCGCAAGGTCGGGCCGACGCCGGGGTACAGGGAGTGGCTCCACAAGCTCCGCAAGACGTGCACCGACGCCGGCGTGCTGCTCATCTTCGACGAGGCGCAATCTCCCCACCTCTCCCCCACCTCTCCCCACCTCTCCCCACCTCTCCCCATCTCGCCTCATCTCTCCCCATCTCTCCCCATCTCTCCCCACCTCTCCCCATCTCTCCCCATCTCTCCCCACCTCTCCCCATCTCTCCCCATCTTCGACGAGGTGCCGCTAATGAACGAGCGAGTGAACGGATGACCGAATCAGTCAAGCAGTTCCTCCTCTTTTGACCAGGTGTACACCGGCTTCCGCGTCGCGCCGCGCGGCGCGCAGCAGGCGCACAGGGGCTGTGCGACGCCGGCCTGGCCGTGTCCTGGACATGTCCACGACGTGTCCCGCGAGGGTCCCCGTAGGCGTACGGCGTGCAGGCCGACTTGGTCGTGTACGGCAAGACGCTCGGCGGCGGGCTGCCCGTCGGCGTGCTCTGCGGCGGCAAGGAGGCGATGACGCGCTCCGACCCGAAGAAGGCTGCGCGCGTGGCGTACGTGATCGGCATCGCTGGCCACGTCGGCGGTGACCGCACGGCAAGCAATGCATGCTAAATGCACGGATGGGTCCGTTAGGCACGTTCGCGGGCCACCCGGCGGTGATGGGGTCGATGAACGCGTTCCTCACCTGGCACTCCCGCCCAGAGACGCCGGCCGAGTGCGACGAGATGCGCCGCGTGGCCGCCCGACGCATTTCTTTTCTCGACGTATTTCTTTTTCCCTCTCTAGGTACGACGAGATGCACCGCCGCATCGACGCGTTCGTGGGCGAGGCGAACGGCGCCTTCAAGAAGCGCGGCTACCCGCTCGAGCTCTCGTCGTGGTTCTCTGTCTGGTCGATGATGTTTACGACGCCGGGCCGGTACCACTGGATGCTGCAGTACTACATGCGCGACGCGGGCGTCGCGCTGTCGTGGGTTGGCACCGGCCGCTGCCTCTTCTCGCTCGACTGGACCGACGAGAACTACGCCGAGCTGCTGCGCAGGATGCTCGTCGCCTGCGAGCAGATGCAGGCGGGAGGCTGGTGGGAGGCGCCGCGCGTCAACGTCAAGAAGGCGGTCAGCCTCGAGTTCGCCGCCGCCATCGGCAAGTCCCTCGTCGGGCTCGCCTAGTCTCGACGCCTAGTCGGAGCCCGCCTGGCGCCGTCGGCCGGGCAAGGGGAGCGGGGGGGGGGGGGGGGGGGCACTCTCGCCTGGGAGTGGCTTTCCGCGGCCGCCGGCGCAGAGGGCGGCTGTGGCCGGCGGGGAGGGGGGGCGGGGGGGCACGTATTGGGGAGGGCTTTGGCGACGCACGCTGCTGGAGGACGACGCAGGCCTTCTAGTGGCACGCGGTGCTCTCGCCGGAGCAGCCACGCACACGGCAGCTACGAACGCAGAGCGGTTTGGGCGCCTGCGGGCGTGAACTCGCGAGAGGCGAGTCTGTCAGGCCCTGAGACTCTCTTCAGGACACGCTGCTCTCTGCTCTGACTCGCATCTCGCGGACCGAGCACATACATTGCACGTCGCGTCTCAGACTCAGAGCGCGCTATCCGCTTACTTTGCTTTATTCGTTCGACACGGGGTACGGGCGGGGTATTTCTTTTTTGAGCGTATGTCCCTCGTATGTCGGCCCCTGCCGCACCGCACGCGACCCCCGAGCTCCGTGACCGTGTGCGTGTCCCGTGACCCGCTGAGAGCGGCTGAGGGCTGACGAGATGAGAGACAGACACAGAGCGCACACTGCTGCAGAGGCACACAGACAGAGAGCTGAGAGGTCACTCACTGGTGAGAGGAGAGGTCCAATGGAGGTCATGGCTCATGCCACTCATGAGTCTTGTCGGCACGGTGTGTGTGCGAGTATATGGGCCAAGAATCGTTCTGAGTTGAAAAATGCATCTGAGTTTATTTGCAACTCAAGCGCCCTTAGCATCTCAAATTGCGGGTTCCCCGCCCCATCTGCATCTCTGCACTCTGGGATATTACAGCATCCCCCCCGTAAAACGGTGAGGGGCACGGGCACCCGTCTCCGCCGTAGTCTCGTTGATCTTCAGCTCGTAAATGCACTTGACTTGGAGGCAGCCACGGCGCGGACGGCAAGGAGCACGCCCGGCTCGCGGTCTGTGTTGCGCGCCGCTGCCTCGAACTCGGCAGCCTCCATCGCGGCCGGGCGCGCGTTTGCCATGGCGACTCCGATGTCGCCGCTCTCAGCGGCGGCGAGCAGCATCGACACATCATTTCCCGAATCGCCGATGGCTAGGTATCGCGAGAGACCGAGCGCCTCGCACAGTCGCGCCGCCGCACGTCCCTTGGTCGCATCGGGGTGGGTGGCAACCAGGTCGGTCGGCAGGTTTCGGCCCACGGCGCACGTGCCGCTGAAGGCGCTGCGCACTCGTGCCTCGATCCTATCGAGCTCCTGCTCCCGGCCAACGAGGTGGATGAGCTGCGCCTTGGAGGGAACGCCCTGCTTGGGACGAGGGTCGCCATAGTCGTCGTGCAGGTGCAACGCCATCGGCGCGTCGAGCGACGGCGTCCAAAAGTCGTCAATGTCGTTGTAGAGCACGCAGATGCCCTCCTCGCGCGCAAGCTCGCCCAGCGATCCGAGCAGCTCGCTGGGAAGGTCGAGCGCGTACAGCGGGGCGCCTCCGATGCCGCGCACGACCGCGCCATTCGAGTAGATGCCGGGCCGCGACGAGAGATCGAGACCTGAGGCGTCGCTGGCCGACTGCGGGCACCGGCCGGTTGCAAAGCAGAAGGCGAGACCGCTGGCCGCAGCCTCAGAAATGGCAGCGGTGCCGCCGGGCGAGGGCGAGTGGTCGTCGCCGAGCCAGGTGCCGTCCATGTCGGAGAGAACGAGCTCGACGGCAGCTAGGCGTACAGCCGCGCAGGTGCTAAGGGGCTGCGGCATGTTGAGACTCGCCGGCAAGTGTAGCCGCCCAATGATGCGCGTAGGGTGGCCCTACGCGCGTCGGGGACGCGCGAGCGAGGGGGCGAGTTAGTTTTATGTTCGTTTTCTCCACGACACCACGACACCACGCAGTCGCCCAGGGGCAGGACGCACACGCACCACACACACACACACACACAGAGAGAGAGAGAGAGAGAAGACCACATGTCAATTTGCCCCAGCGTCGGACCTCGGAGGACGCCACCGCCTTACAAGCCCACCTGGGCGACTCACTTTCTTTCGACCTTCCACCCGCCCCCACGGCGACGATCGACAACGAGGCTCCACATCGCGATCCACATCAGACGATATGGGAAACAACTTTTCGACCGAGAATCATTCAATCCCCATGAATCTAGTATCTACCGGGCGAGGGCGAGCGAAGCGTGTCCATCCACCATCGATGAGTGTGGTGATATCCTGATTGTTATATGACAAACAGCCGACCTGTGCCCGTGAGAGCACGTACTCAACAGACACAACTATACTGAATTTACGCTGAGGGCGCAGCGTCCAAAATCAGGGCGCTGCCAGAGCGGAGACCCTCTCCGGGGCACCTCTGGTCACCTGTCTTCTTCTGCGGCGTGTAAATATACCAATCCGCTGTCTCGTGGGCATGCGCCCAACAACGCGTGTCGGACTCAGCCGAGAAGGAGAGACGGCCCATCCGGCGACGAAGGGCACTCCGCCTGACAAACACAAGCACGGACGGTCAGTCGATCGATCGCAGGGGGCGCATGTGCATGTGAAAAGATGTGATCGTGCTCACCGCGAATCGAATGGTGATGCCGCGGTCGACTGCACCATCATGTACACACTTTTGGGTGCAGTCCGAGGAGTACGGAGGCATGATGTGGTCGAATCCGCAGTCACGCCACCGCACGGCCGCGCTCCGCTTATGCTCCCACGCGCAGTTGATGTTGCTGGCGCACCGCTCGCAAGAGGTATAGCCCTCACACTGGCGGACCTCCCGATCGTACTGCCATTGCGATGCATCAAACTGGCGTCTGTCGCCCTGCTCGATGCCGGCGACCGTGTCTACGGTTGAGGCGATGCGCTGGCCGAATTCCTCTCTCACCGCCGCCGCCTCCGTGACGAAGCGCTCTGTCACCGTTTTAGCCTCCGTGACGACGGACTCCTTTGTTGAGTACCATCCGAGATCCACCGCACTGTCATTCTGTCGAACCGTGGCTGATGCCGTGGCGAGTAGTCCTAGCCACAGAGTCATGCTTGTCGTCTCGTGGTTGCGGAAGGAGCTGTCAGGGGGGGGGGGGTCGCGAAGCAGGTTTTTCTCCTTTAAACGCGAGAGTACTCGAGTAGATAGAAAGAGGCGAGTCCGCTCACACCGAACGAAGGGTCTCAAACAACGCCTCCGGCTGCGTGTAATAGTGAGTGATCAAGCAAACCACAACGGAAAGAGCACTCCGCCTCAGCGATCAGCGGGCTCATACTGGCACCCCACCTACCTCGCTCTTCTGATTAAGGCGACTCTTTCTTCATTCTTTCCTGAACTCACACAAAAGCGCCTGCCGGCCGGGGTTGCCGGCCCCCGTGGCTCCTTTCCCGAGATCACCAGCACGAGCGCGCTTCGAGGCTGTAACCGTTCCAAACTCCTTCATCGCCAGCACGCTCGCACGTACCTTTCCGCCTCGCAATGTCCACTCGCGCTGCCCTCCTGTCCGCCGCCGCGTCGCTCGTCTCCGCGGCGCCGCTCCCGATCGACGACCGCCTCGTCCCACAGTGCACGCAGATCTCGCCGCTCCTCACCGGCCCGGGCACCACCGTCGGCACGTGCGGCCACCCATCGCTGCCTTGCCCGTCCGGCTCGGACATCGACTTCAAGCTGTGCAAGAACCGGTGCGTAACCATCGACCCGCTGAACGACGAGTCCGTGTCTGGCAACCTCGAGTACAACGAGCACACCGCCAAGTGCACCCTCGTCTACACCTCGCAGGAAGCCGAGGCTGACGGACGGCGGATGCTGCAGGGCGCCGGTGCCGGTGACCATGCCGTTTGCCAGAAACAAGTCGGGCCTTCATCGTACTGCCATGGGACCGTCTGCCATGGGTCGACCGTGCCGTGCGGCGGCGGTGGCGGCCCATCGCCGCCATCGGGCACAGCCAGCGGCACGCTGTGGCTCTTCCCGAAGGCCGAGGGCTACACGACTGAGGACCTAGCCTCTGCCGCCGATGGCTTCTCCTCCGTCGCTTGTCTCGCCCTGAGCAACAAGGACTGCTCCGCCGTCACCTCGCAAGCCGCCATTGATCAATGGAAAAGCTGCGAACAGTCCTTTGGCGCCAAGTCGCAGCGCTGGCTTCTGGTCAACAACGACTGCGCCCGCAAATGGTCGAATGTTGAAGCTGGTGTTGCCGCGCTCACGGGTCTGGCCAACAGCGCAGGCGGTGGCGTCGTCGGCCTCGCGTACAACCCGGAGGGCGGCGACAAGCACATGATCCAGACCGCTATCGAGTCGATCCCGAACATGAAGCTGGCTTACTCGATGGGGCCAAGCCCTAGCGCCGGCTGCCCGGCGGCACCTCAGTGCAGCCCAACATCCAGGTGGACTCTCCTTGGGCAGATGTACACACTCGGTGCTGATGGTTTGTGCCGCTGCTTCCAGAGATCGACGGCGGGAGAGAAGGCCGAATGTCTCGCATCTTGGGAGAAGGAAAAGTACGGTCCGTTCGCTGCCAACTCCGTCGGGATGTTTTGCGTCAAGACGGCAAACACCGACCTGGGCGAGTGCAACGAGACGCGGCAGTGCGGCGCCATCGAAGGCCAAGGCCCACACATCGAGGAGTTCTTCGCACCGAATGCACTGAAGAGTGTGATGCCGGTGCTCAAGGGGACGTCGACCTCTCAGGACGTCGCGCTGTACCTGCCGCAGTACTGATGAAGGGTCAGGCAGGCCGCCTGCCGGCTCGGGCTGCCCCGCTGGCCAGCCCCCAATCTGCATGTGTGTCCACTAGCCTCTCTGCCCGCTACATTAGTCACTGTCCAATACTGCGGTCGTTTGAGGGGGGGCGAGGGGGGGGGGGGTCGGTGGCCTTGGTTGGCAGTTTGTCAATTGCTCTGAAAGGGAAGTTTTTCTCGGCCTTCCGGTGTATTCTCTTTTTGCTTGGCCAGCACTCATGCTGAAATTCTGCAAAATCCTGACCGGCCCCTGCCCTGCGCCTACCTACCGACCTACCTACCCTACTTATGGGAAACTAAAAATATATATCACCGGTTCGGTGAAGGAGGGGTGCTATACCAACTAAAATGATGGTTGGTGGTACTCTCCTGCAACCACAGTCCTTCCTGTGACATGGCAGGCCACTCTCAGGCCCTACAAACAACCATCAGTTCAGAGAGAGCTTCAGTTCACCCACTTGAGGTTGACATCGTGATTTGCCCCGCTTTTTCTGCTGTGTGAAAATTCCGGCGTGAAGAGAGGGGGAAACCCGAGCGGGAGGGCCCAGACCTACCATCCTCCGTCTGCATTAGAGTCAAAAAAGAAAACACTGGCCAAAGTCGGAAATTTCTTCGGCCTCGCCCGACCACAGCCTCTCTCGACGACCAAAATTACTCGCCGGCCTATCGATGGGCAGCAGCCCATCGGCTCCACTCGAGCTCAGCGACGGGACATTGGTGGGCGATGCGTCGGACGCAGGAAAGGAGCGGCACGGCACAGTGCTAGCGTCGGCTTCCGCCGCAGCCATACATACAGCGAATGCACCACATCTTAGGCGTTCGCCGCAGCCATCCAGCGAATGCACCACATCTTTCGGAGTGATGTGCAGTTAGATGCTCGCTGCGAAAAACCGCTGTGAGATGAGCGAGCTTGACAGTCCCACACCCTCGCGCCGTTGCCGTCTCCCACACTAGCTTCGGGCGGGTGCAGACTTAGGTCGCCCACTACAGGTTGTGACGACGAGTTCTGTGCGGTGAGCGACGCAATCAACGCGCACGGGAGAGATAGTGAGCCGTTCAAGGCCGCAGCAGAGCGGCTTAAGGCGTGTCAAGGCCGCCGCGCGCGCCAGATGGCTGCCATCGAGGGCAGGTGCGGCCCTGCGCAAGAGGCATTTCGTCGCTGTGTGCAGGACACCAACGAGAAAAGGGGGCCGGGCAAGGAGCACGAATGTCTGCCTGTCCTGCACAGCTTCTTGGACTGTGCCGACATCGCTCTTGGTGAGGGTGAGGTGTAAAGGTGTAAATGGGGAAGGATTGCAATAAACTTCTGCACACACCACACGAAGTGGTGGGGCAAGAGGTGGCAAAACTCGCATCTCCAGACTCCGGTCTCCGCACCCAGACGACAGGAAGGAGCGGCCCCAACGGGGGAAATTTTTATTCGGATGATTTTCAACGGGGGGCAGGCCCACCCAGTGTGCCCCGTGCCCCGGGGGGGGGAGTTCGAATTAAAAGTACAAACTGGCCCCCCCGGGCCCCCCCCCCCCCCCCCCCGAGTTTTGCACGGCCTTAGTTTTGCTCGGCCCTATTCGTGCGTCCACGTCAGAGAGGTTTCCAATCGATCGCCCTGGCCGACTTGGCCGGTTGCACAGACCATCGATGCCAGGCCGACTGGCGAGGGAGCTGCTGGCAGTCGTGCGGCTTGGCCTCCCAAGCATGGTCACGCAGTTGAGCGAGTGGGCACGGGAGATAGATGCACAGTCTGTCCGCGCCGGCCGCCACACGCATCCCGCCAGCACAGTGCTGCGTGCGCTGGGCTCAAGCTCTTGCCCTCTATTTGCCCGCAACATTCTCTCTCCTCTCCGCAGGCGCCTGTGCTGGTGATGATGGGCCGGGTGGGAAGCTTGAGCCCAGCACACGTGGCAGGCGCCGGGATGGGGCAGATGTACACCAACTTGACTGGACTCGCGCTCATTTATGCGCTGGGCTTTGGCTGCCAAGGTCTCTTCTCACAGGCCTTCGGCGCAAAGGACTACGACAGGCTCAGCCTCCTCCTCAAGCGGCTGCTGCTCCTGCGGCTGGTCTGCGCGCTAGCTGTCACGCTGCCACTCTGGCTGGGCGCCGGCCGCCTCCTCCTCCTCGCGGGAATGCCTCGCGACGTGGTTCGACTCACGCAGACGTTCGTCCTGTGGCGGCTGCCGGCGCTGCCGTGCCTCATCCTGCGCAACGACCTGACCAACTTCCTGCTCGCCCAGCGAGTCACGCTGCGCCCGACGGCCATCAACACCACTGTCAACTTCGCCGTGCTCCTCGCCCTGCCGCTCTGCATGGACAGCCTCGGCCTCGGCTTCGCCGGCGCCGCTCTGGCCTTCACGCTGAAAGACATGGCGCAGGGCAGCCTCCTACTCGCCCTCGGCTCCCGCTGGGTGCACGCTGGCGCTTGGCCGACTTGGAGGAGCGGGTGGCGAGCGGCGGCGAGCGGGTGGCTCGAGCTCGCGGCGCTGGGCGTGCCGTCGGCGGTGATGATGTGGGGCGAGTGGTTCGCGTGGGAATTCAACCTCTTTCTTGCGGGGGCGCTGTGCGAGGGCGGGGCCGCCTGCCCCGCGATCGAGGCATACCCAATCCTGTCGAACACAATGGTGCTGGGCTTCATGGTCCAGTTCGGGTTTGCAATGGCGGCGGGCACGCGCACGGGCAATGCGTTTGGCGCGGGGCGCGGTGGGGACGCGCGCTTCACTGCCGGCGTGGCGCTCGCGCTGGTCACCTCCATCAGCGCCGCAGTCGCCGCCGTCCTCGTCGCGATGCGGCACCAATGGGCAGGCTGGTTCCTAGCGGGCGACCCTGCGGGCGACGTCTCGCGGCTGGTCGCCGAGAGCTTGCCTTGGGTGGCCGCGTACATCGTCGGAGACACGCTGGGCCCCGGTTGGGCGCACACCTTGCTGTGGAGCCTTGGCACCCCACTCGTCAAGCCCGCCGCCCTCGTCGTTTTCGCCTTTTGGGTGGTGGGTGTGCCGCTTGGCTGCATCCTTGCCTTCCAGCGCGGCCTCGGACTGCTCGGGCTGTGGATCGGGCTCGCCACCGGCATGTGGGTACATGGGGGTGGGCTCGTGGCATACATTTACTGCTGCGGGGGCGTGACGTGGAGCCGCGTGGGACCCGCTACCTCGGTGCTGGAGCCGCCCCTCGAGGGAGTGGAAGAGGGCGAGAGCTCAGCGGGGCCCACTCCGGCGGAGGGCAAGGACGCCGTTCTTCCGCGGGCGAGAGGACTGCCGGGCGGCGTCGAGACGGGGCTGACGACGGCGCCGGCGGGACTGGAGTGCTGAGCGGGAACCTTGCGCAGGCGGCTTCGAGCGTGGCCGGAGAGGCGAGGTCCTCGTTCAGCACGTAGCCGGTCTCGTCCTCGCGGTCCACGAAGGAATCGAGCAGCACCAGCTCTGCGAGCGGCCTCTCGGTCATGAGCCGCAGCGCGCTGCAGCAGGCGCTGCAGGTCGTCTCGTGCTGCAGCCGGCGCTGTGCGACCACGCTCTAGCACAAGCAGCGTTGCGGGCTCGCCAACGGACCGAGCCGCAGCCCTTCAGCCTTCCATGAGGAAGCCCTGCATTTTCGAGCTAACCAGGAGCCGACGCCGCGCGCTGGCTAGGTCTGCGGAGCTTTTTGCGCCGCACCTTACCTCTGGGTCTGTGGCGGGTTCGCGCAGGCGATGCGGTGCCAGCACACCTGTTTCTTTTTTGAGAGACCTCCCTTCGTTTTGTAAGGCAAAAGAAAGAAAGAAACCAGTCAACCCAAGGGAGAGAGGGAGTATAGGCGAGAGCCGGGACGGCACGGACGCTGCCGCCACCCCGCACCACACAGTGGATGTCGCCCACCCTTGGGCGTCTGCCTTGCCTGTCTCTCCTCGCAGTCTCTAGCCGAGAACGCAGAGCGCGAACGATAAGGTTGTTGCTCGCCTTCCCTCCCGGACAGACGTCGGGCTGGTGGTTCGACACCTTTCACGGTTCATGGGGTGTGAGGACTTGTGCGTTTATGTGAAGACTTGGGAGAGAGATTTTTGAAAACCAACAAGAAATATACGTTAGAGCATACAAGCACTAAAATAAAGAAATCATGCGTACTAGGTCTGGACTCATCCATCCATGTCCGAAGAACGAGCTGCTTACCTACGAGGTGATCTGCCCGGGCGTCGGTTACATCCAGTCTCGTGATGATCTTGGTGCAGCACGGGGTGAGGAGGAGCCATGTGACTCCTACGCCTATCGAGAGAGTTGGCGACTACACCCTAGTTCGCGCTGGGAGCAGCGGACGGAGAACTTCACTTGCGTCGGCAAGCTTGCGCGCTCGGAGTTCTCCAGGACGTCGTGCGACGTCAAGCCCCACCGCGTCGAAGCGTCAGCTGACTCACCTGCCAGAGCACTGTGTCACACCATCTCGGAGCACGGCTGGAGCCTGCACGACGCCCTTGGTGGACGTGGCCCGTCGCCGCCAGATGTGATGCACCGCTTCCAGTGTGAACTCTGCGGCGAGGCGTCGCTTCGGGACCAGGCCAAGAACGCCGAGCTGGAGGCCGAGTTGCGCGCGCAGGATTTGCAGCGCGAGCAGGAATGGAAGAAGACGAACGAGGTACAGCAGAAGCGCAAGCGCCTCGAGAAGGAGGAAGCGCAGAAGAGGAGGCTCGCGCTCCTATCATCGCCACCGCATGTGACCACCACTACCACATGCAGGAGCGCGCAGGCCCTCGGGGGCAGCGGCACACAGGCAGACGAAGACGTGCGGCGCTTCAACCTGCTCAAGATCGCAGAACTCAAGCGCGTCTGTGCGGTTAACCAGCTGCTGGTGTCCGGTTCGAAGCCACAGCTCGTCGAGCGTCTACTCGGTTGCAAGATGCATGGTCGATTGGGCTCCAGATGCCCACGCTGCGGGAACAGCAAGCTCGAGCTACTCTACGCACCCGACAGCGATGAGGAGCCGCACGCCGTCCAGTGCAAGCACATGAAGGGCAGGGGCCGGCCCTGCAGCTTCAGGAGGGAGTTCACAACGGCTACGAAGGCCAGCGTGCTTAGGGGATGGCTAGTTGACAGCGCCGACGGCGACCTGCACAGGGTGGGAATGGTGGTGCCGTAAAAGCCACCACCACGCGTGACTGTGCAGGGGTGGTGCGACTGAAGGACTGGCTGTGTGAGTGTGAGCGGTGACCGGTGAGGACTGAGGTCCCTGGTGCTTAGGTGGTGCGGACTGAGGTCGAGGATCAACAAATTCTCAATTAGTCGTACCAGCTCCTCGCCACCCACCACCGCCGGCGCGGACCGTGTCCGTGTTGCGGGTCTGTCGGTAAGTGGTAAGACGTGTTGTGCCGACTGTCACTTTGCTTCGTGCGATTTCGGGCCTGGGCTAGTGCTTTTGTGAGAAAACGCATGAGAGGATGAAGCTGTGTATGATTTTGACCGCGCAAGATAAAGGGTGGCTAAGGGCTCTGCCCGCAAGGCGCCCGCGTCGCAGACGCGGTACCATTGACAAATCTGCGATATACCCCCACACGAGCAAATAGCAAAATCCGAATACCGTGCACGAACTGCGTGATGTAAGCCTTCAGCTGGTGCATGCGTAAAGAGAGAGAAGAGAGAGAGTACGTGCGTAAACCAAGAACGTCCGCCAAATCCGTCCTTCGGCGCAACTTGAGGGAAAGCCCCTGATCGAGCCCAGCGTGCCCGCGGCCGCCTCCCGCGCAGCACCGCCGCTGGGGACGCCCCAGCGGATCGAGCTCATGCACCGGGCAAAGAAGGACGCTACAGAAGCGGTCGGAGAGGCAGCCGGCGTCTGCCGTCACAACGAGTCCCAGCGCTGGTTGGACATGCGCGTCGGCTCGCCCGAGGACTGCTGTCGCGACCCTCCCGTCGTGCCGCAGCCTCCGAAGAGCTCTGCAACCGAGGAGAGTGATGGTGCGCCTCCCCTCACTGCTGGCCTGGCTGCGCACCGCCCCACAAAGCACCCCCTCGAGCATCTCTACAAGTACAAGCACAAGGGCGACCTTCTCCAAGTCGTCAACGCGCCCGGAGCGGTCTCCACCTACTGCGGTCGAGGGTCGCAGATCCGGCTGACTGTCAACCTCTACGGCAAGCTGGGTCAGCAGTGGGGCCTTGTGAACAGCGCACTCGGGGAGGTGGTCGAGGTGATCTACCCGACAGCCGAGGCCGCCGCCGACGAACTCTGCGTCCCGCTCGTCGTGGCGCGCTTTCAAAACTACACGGGCCCCGCGTTCTGCGCCGCCCGACCCAAGCTCGTGCTGCTGCCTGCGGTGAGGGACTCGGTAGTTGTGACCCCCCTGGAGTGAGTGAGTGAGGACAGGAGAGAGAGAGAGCTGTGTGGTGTTGGTGTACGCAATAACGGGACAGGGTAGTCGTTCTCTCTAGCTCCCCTTCTAGCTCTTAGCATGAGCTGCGCCCTGTGTCCGACCCCTTTTGCGCAGCAACACCTTAAACTTTTCAGGCCCTCCCTCCAAATTCGGGTCGGAGCGTAGCGGAGTGGGCCCCGAGTTTGAAAAGGGCGAAGGACGCTTGCGTGCGTCCTAGCCTCCAACAACGCCTCCCCGGCGCAGAGGGGCCCCCGGAGGGATGCTCAACCGCTCCACGCCACGCCGCTTGCGGCGGTCCTCTTCCCAGCTAGGAGCTCAATATTTTTTTCACGGCTGCTCGCACCGGTGTATGCCAGCTCCAGCCAGCTCGACCACTCCCTGCCCCCGCTCCTGCCACTCCGCTCAACTTCTTCCTCATCGCTCTCCGCTGCCTCGTTCTGCGACGGCCGATCCCTTGCTCTGCCGCCGCCTGCCGATCCCTTGCTCAACAGGGAACACAGGAATGAGACCCGCTACCGCCTGCTCCCGGCAGTCAGCGCTGCGCGCCTGCCTTGCCGCCGCTGCCGCGGCCATCGGCTCGCCTCCCGCCACCGCCCGCAATCTGCCTCAGCCCACCGCCGCGAGCGGCGCTGCCCGCGGAACGGTAGAGGCTCTGCGGCCGATCGTTCGCTCGGCCGCGGCGGTCGCCGCGGCCGCGGCTGCGCCGTCCGACCTCGACGCGTGCGCCGCCGCGCTCGCCAGGCTGCCCGACAGCGAGACGCCCTTCAAGCGGCTGTTTGACGAGTACTCGGAGGGCGTGTCGTACAAGCAGACCTACCTGGACCAGAACGCGTTCCTCGTCTACTACACGCGCGGCTTCGACGGCGCCGGCCGGCCGTCGATCGAGGCGGAGAGCGCCGGCGAGGCGCTCCAAAAGGCGCAGTACGGAGCCCGCAACGACGCGTGGATCGCAGTCGACGACGCACGGCAGGAGGTCCAGTTCTTGCGCGCGCACCCGCCGGCGCGCCCGCACATGCACACGCTCGCGCCGGCTCGCGCCACACTGAGGAGCCTCTGCCTGCAGGCGGATGCGGACGAGTACTCTGAGCTGCGCGACGCGCTGCGGAGGGCGAGGGCCGCTTTCGATTCTTACCTCGCGCTGGCGCCGGCGGAGCAGGTGTCGGCGGCGCGCGAGGCGGAGGGGAGGGAGGGAGGGAGTAGATGAGTTCGATTTTTTATCACATCAGGCATATATTACGAGGTCCTACTCCTAGTATGGGTACATATATGCTGCGGTGGTGACGTAAAACAAAACGCGACCCAGTCATCTCAGTCATCTCTGACTCAGTCATCCGTCAGCGGCCCCCTGGCGGCACAGACCGTGCCAGAGAGCGCGCACAGCGCGGCGGCGGCCGCCATCTAACATCCTTTCCCGATGCGCTCTGTCGCCGCCAGTGAATCTGAATGATCTAGAATGGCAGCCGAGCACTGCCAGCCGAGCCGCTCGGGCGTGGCACCCCCAGAAGTCAAGAGAGCGGCCTGGCGACCGCTCCTCCAAGTACCACCTTCGCATCGCCCAATGCGATCCGCGCGCGAGCACCAGCGGCGGCACGAGGTCAGAGCTCAGAGGTGGGAGGGGTCAAAGACCATTGCCGCGCCCGACGCGGCCGCCTCTGTCGCCATTCTTTCCATGGCTCGGCGCACCTGGCGCAGCTCGCGCTCACGGTCCTCCCGCTCGACCACCTCGGGCACCACGAAGGTTCGCTAGCAGTCCACCAGCTCCGGCCCCTCGCCGCCCTCGAAGCGCGCCTCGTCCCACGCGATCAGGTAGCCCAGCCGCATCACCTCCACCGCTCGCTTGCGCGCCGCCTCCGGGAAGAGCTCGTGCGACTGCGGCGACCACTCCGCCGCCTTGAGGATGAGCCTGCCCACCTCCACCGCCGCCGCCTTAAGCTCGAGGTTGGACGGCCTGAGGGTAGGAGAGGGGAGGGGGGGCCTCGGGGGGGAGTCAGAGAGAGAGAGAGGGAGGAAAAGAGGGAGGGAGGGAGGGAGGGAGGAAGAGGGGGGGAGGGGGAGCGGGAGGGAGGGAGGGAGGCTGGGAGGGAGGGAGAGGGAGGGAGGGAGAGAGAGAGAGAGCCACCGCGCCTGAGCGCGAGCGTCTTGGCCTCGCCCGCTACCAGCACGCCGAAGCGGCCCGATGAAGCGTTCGCGGAGACGACGACGCCCGTCTTGCCGTTCAGCGAGGGCCGCGAGACGAGAGAGTGGATCGCGACGGTGGAACCGACCGCTGCAGCGGTCGGATCCGACTCGCTCCACAAGCAGAGGGCGCGAGCCCGCTCGAGGGCGGATGGCTCGCCGGCGAGCGGGTCCGCGCCGCCGCGCAGCAGCGCCCGCGCCCGTTCGACGGTGAGCGCCTGCGGACAATGATGGAGCGTGAGGAGGACAATGCCCTCACGCCGCGGCTGCCCTGCAAGTCTCGGGCACGCCTCGAGGTGCTGCAGTGGCAGCCAGGAGTCGACCAGCGCGCCGTTCTCGTATTGGTGGAGAAACTTTGGGCAGCGGCTGGCGGCCAGCCAAGCGGCCACGTCGGAGTGGCCGTTTTGGGTCGCCGCCTGCTCGGGTGTGCCGACCGGCGTCTGGCGAGAAGCACCGAAGGAAGAGACGATCTGGGCGCACTCGAGGCGGCCGTGCTGGCATGCCTTGCACAGAGGCGTGATGCCGTTCGCGGTGGCTTCGTTGACGTCGGCGCCGGAGTCGCAAAGCACGCGCACGCACTCGGGGTGGCCCTGCTGGCACGCCAAGAGCAGCGGCGTGTGGGCCAGGGGAAGGCCGACGGCTAGGTTGAGCACAGCGCCACCCTCGATTAGAAGCCTGGCAGACGTGTGGTGGCCGTGATAGCACGCGGCGCTCAATGGGGCGAGCCCGGACTTGGCCACAATGTTGACGTTGGCACCCGCCCCGATGCATACGCGCACGCAATCGGGGTGGCCGTTGGCGGCAGCCATCAACAGGGCAGAGAACCCATCGCAGTCCCGCAGCGTCTCGTCCACAGCTGCACCCGCCTGAAGCAGAGCCTCGGCGCACTCGATGTGGCCCCGCTGGCAGGCTATGAAGAACGCGGTCGTGCCTGCAAGGAACTCGTCCTTAGCGTTCCCGCAAGTTGGGGCCAAGCCCACGTCCGCCCCTGACGCGAGCAGCAACCGGAGGCAATCGGCGTGGCCGCTCGATGCTGCGTGCCACAGAGGTGCGCGCCCGCTCCCGTCCGCAGCGTCGAGGCGGTCGACTGCCGCTCTGGCTCCAAGGAGCAACTCGACGCACGGGGTTTGGCCGTCGAAGACAGCTTGTCCCAGCGGCGTAAAGCCATTGTTCGCTCGCTGCTCCACGTCGGCGCCAGCAGTCAGCAGAATGGTCACGAACTCCGGCATGCCAAAGTGACCAGCCAGATAAAGGGGGGAGTACCCGTCGGCGTCGGCGAGGTTGATGTCGGCGCCGGCGCCGAGGAGTTGCTTCAGAACCTCGACAGCGCGGGCCATTCTCCCTCTGGCGGCGGCGGCGGCGCCAGCCTTACTTTCGCCACCCTCTGCATGCAGGAAGCCCCATTGCTCCCACGCTCTGGGGGACTGCATCACCGCGGTAAGGAGCGCCGTATCGCCACCCTCGAGGATGAGATCAGGCGACGCGCCGTGCGAGAGGAGGATCTCGACGCAGCGAGGGGCGTTGAAGCGCGCGGCGTAGCAGAGGAGGGAATCGCCGCCGGGAAACGCAGAGACGGGACAAAAGTTGACGTTAACTGGCATCTCGTCCAGCGCCGCGGCGAGTGCGACGGCGTCATCATCATGGATTGCCGCGATCCCGGCTTCAATCAGGCGGCGCACACCATGTGCGATGCCCTTCTTGGCGAACAGGCGTCGAGATTGGCGCTGTACGAGTCGGTGTAGATTTCGACGGCCGAGGAGGGGGCGGCGGCATTCTCCTCGGTCTGCACATCCATTTATCTCGCCCCTCCGCTCGCCTGCCAGCTGCGTGTGCCGCAAGATCTCTCAGTCCAGCTGCTCATTCAATGTTGCTTCAGCATGGGCGAAAGCATGCAATTGCATTGAGCCCGAAGTTTTCTTTTTTACATACATCATTCAGAGAAGAACAAAACAAGAACACAACGCACTCTCTCACATGACAAGCGATCCCACGACAGCGATTGTGGGGACTACATGATCCGTACGTGAAGGGTGGAGGGGCCCGTCCGCGGAGCTTACCATGCGGAATCGACCCTTTCCAGTGCTCAAGTGCTCAACCAGGTGTGGGTATTGACCGCAGCGAATATGTTCACACCTTGAGCGGAGGCCAATTGATTCGCGATACTCTGGCAAAAAAGGGGTTGGCAACGGGCTTTTGCGGGGGCAAGCCTTCAGCTGGTGCCAAAACGTACCAAAACGTCCGTCCCGTCGACCAAATACGCGGTCGGTAGAAATGGCTTGCTTGCAAGAATGGGATGCCGACAGGCGTCAGGCGGCGCATGCCGAGAAGTCGCTTGCCGTGCGGGAGCTCGTGCGCCTCTCCCTGCGCGTGCAGTCCACGGGCGTCGTCGCGGAGCTTCATCTCGACACGGCACTGGTTGCTCCGAGCGGCAGCGGAGCTGATCACGAGCGACGAATTCGCCGGGGATGCCAGGCAACAGATGGGCGCGCAGATAATTGGCGTGGCGTCCTAAACAACGCGACCGACGAGCATGCTCAACTGCTGCGCGACGCTCTCTGCGACCCCGACTTTTGTATGCGCTTTGCCATTCGCCGCCGCATTGGCTCAGGGGGCACAGTCCGCTTGCAGTGGCTCTTCCGCACGAATAGCGTTGTTGGCCGCATGCGTCCTGGCATCGGGAGGGTCCGCCTAAGAGGAAGTACGTTCGTAAGAACTGATACATATACTTTTTGTGCGTGGAGCGTCTTCCCCTTTTGCGCAGCAACACCTTAAACTTTTAGGCCCTCCAAATTCGGGTCGGAGCGTAGCGGAGTGGGCCCCGAGTTTGAAAAGGGCGACGGACGCTTGCGTCCTAGCCTCCAACAACGCCTCCCCGGCGCAGAGGGGCCCCCGGAGGGATGCTCAACCGCTCCACGCCACGCCGCTCGCGGCGGTCCTATTCCCAGCTCCGCTGAGGGCGTGTCGCGTTATTCTTTCTCACCTATTCCTGTGTGTGCACCGATGCTCCTCGCTGCGCTCCCCGCGCTGGCTGCGTGCAGCGCGCTGCGTCCGAGCTTTCGCCAGCCCTCCGCGCCCACGCGGCGGCACGCGATGATATTCGCCAGCGAGGGCGACAAACTCGAAACGGAACGAGCCGCAGTCGAGGTGCGCTCCCGTTGCCACCCTGCCACTGTTGCCGTCACCCACATTGGCTGCAGCTCTCCGGCACTGCTCGCGGCTCTCCTCGACCCGCCTGCCTCGTGTGATTTGCAGGCGCTGCGGGCGAGGGTCGCAGAGCTCGAGCAGTCGGTGGCGCAGCAGCGCGAGGCGGTGGCGTCGGAGGCCGAGACGTCGAGGCGGCAGTCGGCCGAGGTGGCGGCGGAGGCGGAGGCGGAGGCGCACCCCGCGTCGGATGCCCATCCCGCGCCGTCCGCAGCGGCACCGGCGCCGGCGACGCCGGCGAGCGAGCGCGGCCTCGACCTCTCTGTCTCGGAAGGAGTGTTGGCGGAGCTGCGGGCGCCGTTCGAGGCAAACGCGTCGCAGTTCAGCGAGTCAACGTGGTCCGAGGCGGTCGCGTCGGTGGAGGCGGCGCTCGCGGCCGGCTGGGAGGCGCAGGCCGAGGAGAGGGCAGAACTGCGCGCCGCCATCGAGGCGCGTAAGACTCGCGGCCGGATGCTCCGCGAGATGGCGCGAGATGGCGCGAGATGGCGCGAGATGGCGCGAGGTTGCGCGAGAGTAGGCGCGGAAGAGTGACCCGGCGGGCGGCGCCGGCGACGAGGTGTGGCGATGCCTGCGCCGCGTCCGATCTCGGCCGCTCTCGGCTACTCTCGGCCGCTCTCGGCTGCTCTCGGCTGCTCTCGGCTACTCCCGATCTCGCCCGATCTCGGCTGCTCTCCCCACCAGGTGGCGACGCTGAAGCGGGGCTGGGAGCTCGCCGCCAACGAGAGCGGCATCACCCTCGGCACGACGGCGGACTTGTTTGGCATCCTCGCCTCTCTCACCCCCGAAGAGCCTCAGGGCGAGGGACAGCCGAGAGACAGCCGAGAGGGATAGCCGAGAGGGATAGCCGAGAGGTGGCCGAGAGATAGCCGAGAGACAGCCGAGAGACAGCCGAGAGAGATAGCCGAGAGAAATGGCCGAGAGAGATGGCCGAGAGATGCGAGAGGGCGAGCCGGCTCGACGCCCAAGGAAAGAATGAGCCGCTGCCGCTGCACCGCAAGAAGGAAGAAAATAGGCGAGGGCGCCGGCTCGACGCCGCTCGTCGTGGCGCTCGACGGGAGCGCGCTCATGCTTGACCCCGCCGCCGCCGCGGCTCGGCTGACCTCGCTGGACGAGCACGCGCGCCTCGGGCGCGTGGAGAATACCGCGCCTCGGGAGGGGAGATTGCCGGAGATCACACCCGAGGGGGTGGTCCGAGATAGGCTCGTCGCAGTGCGCCGACCAGCCTGTGAGTGGCCTATTAGCTCACTCTTGGAATGCGTCCGGGTCGCATAGGCTCGTCGAGTACCGCGTCTTTGCGCGCGCGCTAGCCCGCGACCGCAGCTTCTGCGCCCTCGCCGCCGCGAGCGAGCCGGCGGGGGGCACGAGGCGAGGTCGACGAGGTGGAGCGAGACGGCCCGAGACGGCCCCGAGATTCTCCGAGATTAGGCGGACATCGGCGTCCTCGGCGCCGCGACGGCGGCGGCGTTCACCGGCTCGGTGATGGGCGGCTGGCGCGACGGCGACAAGCACGCGGGGGGGTGGGGGGTGCGAGCCGTGTTTTCTTCTTCTTAGGTGAGCGGGGCGGTCAGCACAGTGGGGTTTCTGCTTCTGACTTCCCCTGGCTTGTGTCCGGTTGCGGCAGGTGATGGGCGGCTGGCGCGACGGCGACGCGGGGATGCTCGAGCGGCGAGAGGCGGCCAGCATTCAGTGCTATTAAATGAGTCATCCTTCATCAGTAATTGGGATGCGCGAGCGGCGGCAGGCGACCGACATCGCCGAGGAGAGTTCCTCTCCTCACGCCTCTCGTCGCGCAGCCCGTGGTGCGTTGCTTAGGCGATCGACCTCGCCGAGTCGGAGCTCGACAGCGCGCTCGGCGAGATTGCGGAGGCGGAGCGGCGCCCCGAGCCGGCCGAGCCGCAGCTGTCAGCTCACGGTGCAGGCGTGTCCCGTGTCGTAGGCGGAGCAGCGCTCCGAGCCCGTCGCCCTCGGCCCGTGGCTGAAGCGGTACTTTGCGCTCGCGCGCCGGTCCGAGTGTGGCTTCTCACCCTTCATGGTCTTGCTGCTGCTGCAGTGCGTCGAGTCGCAGTCTGTCGAGGAGACACGTAGCCGAGATGTCGCCGAGATGTCGCCGAGATGTCGCCGAGATGTCGCCGAGATGTCGCCGAGATGTCGCCGAGATGTCGCCGAGATGTCGCCGAGATGTCGCCGAGATGTAGCCGCAGTCTGTCGAGGCGGCCTTCTCTTCTGCGGCACGCCCGTCCCCTCCTCCTCTTCAGGCGGCCTCCGTGTACATCGCCTCCCGCGCGCTCGGACGGCGCCCCTTCCCGAGGCGCGGCCGAGGCGCGCGCCACGGGGTTCGTCTCCGACCCAGCGTCTCTCTCTCTCCAGGCTCAACCTTGCGAGGCAGGCCGAGGAGCGCGCGCTCGGCGTCCCGGCCGCGATCGAGTTGGACCGGTGAAGCCCCCTCCCCCCCTCCATGGGGTCGGAGGCTTTTTCGGTTGCCGGTCTGGGCCCCCCTGCCCTGGGTGTTGGCCGCTGCGGCTCCGGTCGCTTGGGGCCCCTGTTTCGCGCCTTGCGTTGCTGGCGTTGCGGGTTCTTTTTTCTGC